AGCCCTCTCGAGACGCTGATTGTAAAAGAAGGGGTTCTTGAGATTCTTTCCTCAAACAACTCTGAACTGGAACTCAAAAATAAAATCTTCTTTGTCATACTGAGCAATTCAAGCCTATTTTATTTTAAAATACTTCAGTGTTCTTCAGTGCATAGAAAGCTTCACAACACCTTTAAGAATGCCTGCAATAACATCTTAGATACTGTAGATTTCTTTCACACTTGAAAATAAGTTTGTATTATTGATAGAAATAGTATGGTAATCGATTGGATTTTTTATGCACAGTAATGCATTCGTTAGACATTTGCCTAATGGAAGGCATGCATTAATGAAATAATTTTTAAGTAAAATTGGTTCAAATTTATCTTACGCTTAAGGAAATCTCAAACTCTCAAGGAGAAAGCCCATTTATTGGTTGATAACATAACGCTGTTACATAACGCTGTTAAACAGTGATAACGATCACTGTTTTGCTGTAATAGCCTGAAGGCAGAGTAGGGTATACTTTTTTATACTTTATGATACTTTTCCTGTCAGTGATAAGAAATTGCAACATACTCAAGTATCGTAGAAATATACTTGAATTTTACTGGTATACGTATCAGATGATATTACAGGGTAATTACTGATAAAACACACTCAAGCAAATTTATAGATAAAACACACTCAAGCAAATTTATAAATTCTATCTTGTTTCAATAAAATCACAATCCTAAAATTTGTAGAATCACTAAAATATAAATCTTCTCATCATCTTTGTTGATTCTTTCCTCTCAAGCTGAAGAAGCCTCCCCGCTAAACTTCTCCTAGTCGCTGAATTTCACATGCATATTTCATGGAATTCGCCTTCCAGATTTTATTGGAATCGGAATTATGTTTAAGATTAAATAATATTGGTTATTTATCCGTTTTATAGAAACAGACAAGTAATCTTCCGAAGCAGTTTAAGGCCACTTCATGTTTCCTGTACTTCAGTAAAATATTCTGCTTCCCAAAAACATATTTCATGAAAGCCTATTAGTCTGTCTTCACCGTAACGAGTACATATTTCTTCTTTAAAAGGAACCCTTAATACATTTAGAAAACTTAGTAAAATATAAAATACAGAAAGGATTTATTGGATAAATTTCGCGTACTCTACTTGTGCAGAAATAAACAAGTTTAGTATCTTTAAGATTTGCTGTTTGAGAGCCCTAAAGAAGTTGAATCTAAGTCCGTTGAACCAGATATTTTCCATTACTCAGATTATATTTTACGGCCTTTAAGTGCATTTCTAACAGGTATTTTACTATTAGTTCTGTACTTAATTTAGAGTTTATAAGCGCGTTTGAAATAAGTAGGTTTGACGTAAATATCATAAATAATTAATTTAGCTTAATGAATGTCACTTTATCAGTCGTTTAATAAATTAAATAAATTAACTGAATTTGATTAATTATGAATCACTTATAAGAGATAAAATTTTGAAATTTTTGTTTCAAAAAGTAGAAAATAAGTTAGTTAACTTAAACTGATTATCTCAAATATTAGATTTCATAAAGGAATTTAAACAAACCAGTTCCTTACTTAAATTCAATTACGCCAAGCAAAATTTTAATGCACCAAGAGCGAGGCTAATTTTCTCTTGTTATCTCATTATAAATAGAGTTCATTTTTAGTTGGATAAGTTAGAGAGCATCAACCTTGCATATTAGCTAACATGAAAATTAAGAATTGTTAAGCAGCTTAAAAGCTTATGTAATTTAAATGTAATTCTTGCTTTTACACGAAGGAGAATAGATGTATTTTCCAAATATAGCTATCTTTCATGACATATTCAAATTTTTTAAATCTATTCATCTTTTCACCTTAAGAAAATTGCCCAACAAGAGCCAAGTGATTAAGATAGCTGATAATTAGTAGTTTCAACCAGGCTCGAACCCAGGCAATTGGGCTGGTTTTTGTGGTTTTCCCATCCGTAACGTGTATCCATCCGTAGTATATTAAATAACCTTGCGTAACGTGAAATATAAACCAATAGTTCTTTATCCAGTTCAGCCGACGCAATCCGAACTCTCTCGTGAAAACACAACTACACTCAAATAGCGCGTGGTTTCAAAAGGCAGCAAATGACGTTTCCCCATAATTATTGCGCAAATCCAACACACGCGTGAGTGAAACTGTTAATTTTTTCACTTGTATTCTAATATACTATTGCAGTTTTAGATTATTAACTTTAATTTCTAATTTTAAGACATAGAAAAATGTGAAAATTTTAAATAAGTGACAAAAATAACAGCATCACATGCAAAGCAAGTAAAATTAACATTTATAATATAAGAAGAATGCTTCGAAACGTTTTCGTTTTTTCTTTGTCTGCATTGTCGTATCTTTATCTATTTTCAGATACATTGCGCAAAAATATTTGGTAATTGTAAAATTATTATGATAAGTTAAAGAAATATCAAAACTGCTAAAATTTTTGACGACCCCCCCCCTGCTGCAGGGGTCATGGGAGTCGCGTCCCACAGTATAAAAAAACCCTGGTCTAGTCCAAAGGCAGAACGCCACTTCAGAATTATTACTGTGATACAATTAAAAACACTGCAATTGTGACTTAAAATCTTTCTTTTTCCGTCTTTGGAATGAGTTAAGATTTTAAATGGAATTTACTGGCTTCAGTTTGATGTCCTCAGTTTGCACTCAATATAAATCACAACCCAGAATTCAAATAATAATTTTTGAAATTTTTGCTATGTTGAAGATCTAATGTAGAGCTTAACATGAGACTATTAACACCATATTGTATCCTTAACATTAAAATTCTAAGAAACAGTAAGCGGTGAATAAAATAGATTACTTGGTAAAATTAAAACAGAGAAAAATAACAATTAGGAATTATGCAAATAATGTCATTAATATGCGCAATTAATATTTTAAAAATGAAATTCTTGACTCAGTGCGTTTCAAAAATGTTTTCTAATATTTACAAGTAAAGACTGAATAGTTACTTCTTCTGCTTGATGTTGACATTTAAAAAACTGAAATAGTAATTTAGACAATCTACTGATCAAAATGGGAAAAAATATTTACAATGAGCTCGCTCTCAGTCTAAAATATTAATTAAATCTTATCATGTATCCTTCTGAATTCAGATGAGAAAATAAGTTAAAAGAACTACTGAAAATGACTTTGCGAATTTAAATTTCAGATGAAATTTAGTGAAAATATTACTTTATATAAGTAAACTTTAAAAATATATATATATAAGTAAACTTTAAAAAATTTTCTGTATAATAATGTTAAAACTAGATAATGAACATGTAAGGATTATGTTAATTTTATTAACAGTTAAATTTTAAGTTCCTTTCCTGTCCAATTCTTAACTTCAACTTACTACTTCCGGCCAGAACGTAGTTTTGGAATCCCTCTGAATACTTAATGAGGAGGAGCAGTATTTAAACGTCGAAGTCTACTTGCTGAGTTAGAGAGAATCAGAGTTTCTGATTTGCGCGCGTCTGCATTTTGGCCACTCTCTCTCTCAAAGTTATTACGCTCGGCCGTACTCAGGCCCTTGATAAGCTTCGTAGTCAAATAGAGTTAAGGGGCCAACTCGATTAGAATCTTGATAGCTTCGGCTATATCTCTTTAGTTAATCTTAGTTTTAGTTTATTTCTTAGTCTCTTAAGTTCAAGCCCAAGTGTCGGCTTTTATTGTACACTTCAAGACGGAGTTTTGTTAAATCTTATTGGAATAATAAAGGGTTAGTTACCCTTCCATCTTGTTGTTTCTTGTTATACGAACTTAAGCGATTATTCGCTAACTAGTTCTTAAGATTCGTCACTTTCTACAATAACTTTTCTACAATAACACTAGTGAGAATCTTACGAACATTTTAACGGTATTTTTCAACAGATGCCCCATTTGAGGAATTAAATGTCGAGAATGAATCTTAGTTTAAAAAATGTAAATTTATTTGTTGCTTGTTTTGAATTAATCTATGGTTTATTTATTGAGTTGTTATAAGAAATATGCTAGAACAGAAATTATCGTTATAGCGCAAAACAATATTTGTTTTCATTTGAATTGCATAATATGACTGGTTACTATATAAGATCGTCGGCTTTGAAAAGAGATTATGTGGGATATACACTTTTTATTTTAAACTTTGAATCATTTACATCAGAGATCAGTTCACAAGGCTGTTTTTCTTTTTCTGTGTTATATAAATTCCCTCCTAATTAAATTTTAGAATTATTTTAAATTAGAAAAGAGATGAAACGTAGAATGTATTAAATCTTTTAAATCTAAGCTTAAAACTTCCGGAAGGATATTTCTATTCCAGTAAATAAAAAATAGCGAAATAAGAGCCTGCAGAAAATAAATTCTTAATTTTTCATTGGGAGAAAACTGCATTCTGAATAACAAATTCTGAACAATTTTATTTAGAGACGAATTATTTAGCTCTTATTTTCATATAGGTTCATATGTTAAAATAAAATTAAAAATTTTTACTTGGCAACTGTAGACCTAGCGAATTAAACTGAGAGCAAATCAAATCCAAAAACTCCAGTTTACCTTTACTGACTTAAAGCAAAATGTACAGTGAGTCCCAAAATTGAGGGTACACTTAATGCTAACTTAATTTGTAGGCTATTGAGAATAGAAATTATTATGCACGTTTTCCTAGTTTTGTCTCATTAAAAAATATACATTTTTCTTCTTAACTACACAAAAAATTAAGTTATAAAACTCCGTTTAAAAAAATATTATATTACTTAAACGAAAATCTTCAACTTCTGAATGTCACAAAATTGAGAGTACACTTCTTAAATGACTGTGTAAAACTACGAAAATCTTCAACTTCTGAAAATCACAAAATTGAGAGTACACTTCTTAAATGACTGTGTAAAACTACCAGTAAAATTTTAAAAATAATTTGTAAAGATTTATACAAAAATACAACCTTTTAGTATCCAAATATTACAAATTTGAGCTTACTACCTTTCTGTGTGACAAATATGGAGAATAGGAAAGAAACGACGATTGAGGAAAGAAAACTGGCCGTTAATCTGTCTAATCAAGGCAAATCTTTGAGAAAAATAGGAGAAATACTTGGAAGAATCATTCAAAAATTTAGAAAGGATGGTACGCTGGAAAACCAAGCAGAGAGAGGCAGGAAGAAAATTCTCAGTTCAGCAGCAGAGAGGAGAATTGTACACAAGGTAAGGATTGATCCTACAATAAGTGCTCCAAAAATTGCTGCAAGTACTTCGGAAACTGTGGGTAAATCTGTTTCTGCAGAAACAGTGCGCAGAATCCTCAGAAGGGCTGGTTATAATGGCAGAAAAGCTCTCAAAAAGCTCTTCATTAGTAAAATAAATAGAGCTAAGAGATTAAAATTTGCTAAAGAGCACATTCTAAAGCCTAAAGAGTTCTGGAATGAAGTTTTTTCAGCGATGAGAGTAAATTTAATGTTTTTGGCAGTGACGGTCATCGTATGGTGTGGTGCAAGAAAAATTCAGCTTTAGATCCAAGAAACACAATTCCAACTGTGAAGCATGGAGGTATGTTAGTAATGGTTTGGGGCTGTACGGCATCATCGGGAGTTGGAAAGCTAGTGTTTATTGATGGAATAATGGATAAAATGGGTTATCTTAATATATTGAAAAATAATTTGAAGGACAGTGCTACTCAATTGGGACTAGGATCAAAATTCACATTTCAACAGGATAATGATACAAAGCATACAGCAAATACTGTCAAAGAATGGCTGCTGTATCACTGCCGAAATCAGCTGAACACACCCCCTCAACCTCCTGATTTGAACGTGATCGAAAATTTGTGGTCCCACCTTGAAAAAGAGGTCCGAAAACATCAGATCACAAGTAAAGAACATTTGAAGCATGTACTAAAAGTGAAGTGGGAAAACATTTCACCCGAAATTACGAAAAATCTTGTCGATTAGATGTCCCGGCGGCTGGAAGCTGTCATCAAAGCCAGTGGGTATGCTACAAAATAGTAATGTGTTGTTTTTTATAATTTATGTTATAAAACAATTACATGTACCCTCAATTTTGTGAGCTCAGATTTTTGACGATTTCTGTTGTACATTTTGTTTCTGTATTTTATTTCATGCATTTTTTTATGTCTATTTATGAATAAATATTAAGATTATGTATCTTTCTACATCCTCGTCTAAAGGTTTTGGTGACTGTCTTTATCTGACAGTTTTTGTGTTCATTCTAAACATGAATTCTGTTGTAGAATGGAGTGTACCCTCAATTTTGGGACTCACTGTATATCATCTGGAATATTTCTTACTCTTATAGCTCGTCAAATAAAAGAAAACTAAGTATATTAGTTTTGTCTCAGGCGATATTTTGAGAACTAAATTCCCGAAATTTTGAGTTTTAAACTATCATCCAGGAAAAGAAGCAATGAAACAGAAAAGACGCCCAAAAAGTCGTCTTTTTTCAGTTACACACACACACATAAACGTTTCGAGAGCATTTGGGCTAAAAATATTTAAGAACAGCATATTTTTAGAATTTCCGATAGACAGTCTCAAACGCTGGAAATAATTTTTTTTTTTTTTTTTTTTTTTTTTTTTTTTTAAATCTATACAGTGTTGCCATTGCTTGCTTTGAAATCACTGAGTTTGTTAATCAAAAATTCGTTAAAGTTTTACAAAACATGAAACAAATAATAAAAAAAATTCAAAATTCGGTCTTCCACCTGCCGTGTTCCGTTGGAAGACTACGTTATTCAAAACTCGATGGATCTAGGTACCGCTGTTTTTTCACAGTGCAAGAAACATGCATACATTCATGCAGATTTTTCATTATTTAATTTATTTAAATATGATACAGGGCTCTAATATCTGGTGGATACGTTTTGAAAAGTCATGTAACGTATTTAAGATTTCGCAGCAAAATGCTGTTTCGAGATTAATATCCCATTCGGGACTACACATCCCTTTTAGGCTAAAAAAATCTTCAAGGAAGTATAATCTTTTTGCCATAACAGTTTTTGAAGTTTTATATTTCTACAGTTTGCAATTTTTTAGAATATTTTCTTAATCTGCCAAAGATTTTTGAATAATACTGCATAAATTAGAACTGGCTGCGAGATTTTGGACAGTTTGGAAAACCAGTATTTGATGCAATTTGCATCGGCTCATTAAACAGTTAAAAGCGGAGCAAAACCATTTATCATCAAAAAGAATTTTACTCAAAACTCCTATCAGCATCGTCATTTGTGGAAGAAATGAGTGTTTACAAACTTTCCTGTTATACAAGATAAAAACTTATATTTAAATACTGCGAATTTCTATCATAAATCTGAATGTATAGCGAAATAAAGCTTGTTAAGAATAATTTTGGAACTTCGATAAATCTGCTGGAAGAAAAGGAAATATTATGTCACTGACACTCAAAAATTTAGAATTTTAAAACCATTATGGAATGCAGTTAAATATATGATAAACTGGGGCCCAACAGCGGCCAAGTCGCTGAACGCTGGTAGTTCGGTCCGAGATTGGAATCCCGTCACCGAGCTGGCTGCATGGATGTTTTCGTGGTTTTTCCCATATGTAACGTATATACGAGCCAGTTTATCTTAGAAAGTCCTCCACGAAGGTTTCCCTTCCTTTAAGCACCCTTGAGCCTTTGCCATAATAGCATAAAACAAACGAATATGATAAACTAAATCTCATGAAATCCTTCCTTTTACTGCCCTGAATGTGACATAAAGTACTTTTGATTTAGTTTTCGATTAGAAACCCGTAGACCTGGGCATACTGACATTTGAATTTCCACCGGAAAATCGAATAAGAATTGTATCCATTTTTGCTGGATTGAAAATGCAACAGGTGAGAGCTCTAATAGATGTCTTGGGTAGAAATGTGATAGTTTAACGAATAGTTTTCTGATTCATGATTCAGGTACTCATAACGAGTTTAGTTTGATGATAATTTTAATTTCAAACTCGCGTTAGAATAACAGAATTTAATATCAGGTTAGAAACTGGGTATAATTAGCATGCATTTTCAAAACGAAAAGAATGTTACAAATCTTCTGAAAAAATAAATAAATAAATAAATAACTTCTCAAAGCGTCTAAACTTACCATTAGAATTCCTGCTAAAGCATAAGCAGCTGCTTCGTCTTTATATTACACTTCCATTTTAAAATAGCTCACCAGCGGCCGAGCGGTAAAGTTGCTGAACACTGGTAGTTCGGTCCGAGGTTCGAATCCCGCGAACGGGCTGGCTGCATGGGCGTTTTCGTGGTTTTCCCCATGTGTAACGTGTATACGAGCCAGTTTCCCTTAGAAAGTCCTCCACGAAGCATCCCTCCTCTTAGGCAGATAGCCCTTGAGGCTTTGCCATACACACACCATTTTAAAATAATTTTCTTTTCACTTCGAAGAAACTGCAATCATCATGAAAAATCTGAAATACACATTTTGCTGTAGAAAAAAAGCAACAGAGTAATAATAATAATACCTACCCAAAAGAAATCTCTTCGTTCTGGCTTGAAATGATTTGACTTTTTTCTTGTCTCTGTCTTAAGCAATTTGTATTAATTCATTCTCAGGTAGCAATGAATCTCTTTCATCAAGAAGGAAAGCAAATGCATAGATTCCTCCCACATGTTTATTCATATTATTTAGTCAAAAGAGCAACTGTTAGTTTTATGCAAAAATATACAACAGATTTCTCTCTGAGATTCATGGGAGCATCTCCCTGATAACTTAAATTTCTTGTATCAAAAATATCCAAAAGGGTTGTATATTCCTTTTGTTTTTATAAAATTTTTAAGCATAAAACTCAAATGAAAAATAAAGATTCTTAAAAATCATAAAAACTAGTTAAGTCTTCCAAAAAAACTAGAAGCAATAAAATAATAATGGTAATAATTACTCGTTTTCGAAATAATTTTCATGAGGAATTCCTCCCACACCTTAGAGCTTCCTTTGCAACCATATGAAGTAAAACCTCGATTCTCAAATTTATTCATTTCTGAAAGACGTTCGTCAACCGAAATGTTAGTAATGCAGTTATGATATACCGAATATATGATAAACCGAAATAATTTTTCTTATAGAAATTCATGTAAAATGGATTAATTCGTTCTTGGACCACAAATGTTTGTTTGCGTATTTAAACTTTAGAACAATGCTTTGTGCACACATTCGTAACCAAAACTAATGAAAATCAGGAACTGCAAAACGAAAAAGATAAACACAAAATTAAATAAATAGATTATACCATAACATGGTTTAATTTTACTACAAGTGTAAAAATAGTCGAAAATGTGTAATTGTTTGGATGTTATTTTAGTTTATTTTGCTTATCGCAAAGCACACTAAGTCCTAACAAAGTGACATTCCCTACTCCTCATCACCGATTTCGCTCAAATTTATAAGTCATGCAAGGCTTTGCTAGAAATGAAAGTACCCGAAGTGGGAACTCCAGGTGACCAAGCGTTTAGAAAATAAAAATGCTGACGCACCTTTTTATAAACCATTTACGTTAGCATGGTTACTTAGCAGCGGCTGGCGTATTGTTAAGAGCTCTGATTAGTAATTCGATGATCGTGGGTTCGACTCTCCGTGAGGAATCTTTTTCTCAATTTTTAGATTATTCATTTTCCAATTAAGCAGAGAGATGAATAATTTATTTTATTTATTTATTTATTTATACGCAAAAGGCATATAGGACATCATTTTTTAATGAGTGCATAATTGTAGAAAATTTGGAGTGTGCTAGATACAGAAATAATTATTGTTTTCCTTGTTCCTACGATAAATATCATCCCGACACATGTAAATCATCGAATGTCAACGAATAAAGTTTTGAATTTTCATGCACAAAGTCTTTTCGTAGGCGCTTTAACTACAATGCCTTGTAGAAAAGTCCGAAATTCCAATTCTTTACCTTTTATATGCCTTTTGCATATAAATAAATAAATAAAATAAATTATTCACCTCTTTGCTTAATTAGAAAAAGAGTAATATAAAAAACTGAGAAAAAGAAAAAAAAAAAAAAGTCTTCACACGGGGAGTCGAACCAACGATCATTGAATTACTATTTCGAGCTCTTACCGCTACGCCAAACGTTACTTGGCGAACATTCCAACGTAAACATATTTATACAGTGCAAGAGCCGCGTCAGCATTTTTATTTTCTAAATGCTTGGCCATCTGGAGTTTCCATTTCGGGTACTTTCATTTCTAGCCAAGCTCTGCATGTACTATAAATCTGAGCGAAATCGGTGATGACGTGTAGGGAATGCCTCCTTGTAAAAGGAGGGATGCCTCCGAGAAGGTGCTTTTTAAAGGAAACTAGCTCGTATACATGTTACGCAAGAGGGAAAACCACGAAATCGCCGATGCAGGCAGCCCGTTCGACTAGAATTAAACTCAGAGCGAACTAGAAGTGTTCAGCGACTTTACCACTCAGCCGCTCTAAACAATCTATAGTCAAGGGCGGAGATGTCTTTCTCTGTCTTTGCATATGCTCGTTTT